GGGAGGTGGCTTATTCCGCACGGCCGCGGCGGGGGCTCCGCCAGCCCGCCAGCCCGCCCGCCCGCCGCACGGCGGGAGCCTGGGACGGCGCCCGGGGACACTCTAGCCCTTAATTTCTCTTCACCCCTTTGCCTTGCAGATGTAGGAATGAGGGTCGGAGCAGAATACCAGGCGCGCATTCCTGACTTCGAGCCCGGTAAATCGCTTTTCGGCTGTAACCTGACATCTCCCGAGGCGGGAGGGGTGGGCTCGCTCGGCGCTCTCCGGCGGCGGCGGCCGCGGGGTTGTATTTATGCTGCTTTTGAGCCTTTGTGTCGGCGATCCGGTGCCGGCGGCGAGAGGCTTGGCCGGGGCAGCATCTGCGCTCCGGGGGCGGGGGGCAGCGCGGTGGGGGATTCTCACTTCATTATCGGCCGCAATATGTGTATCCGGCGGGAGGCGGTGAAGCAGAAAAAGGTTGAATTTTTTWAAWTTTTTTTTTAACCCCCGTTCTTWAACCKATAACCATAAGAAATATTTGACGAGGGGTGATGGATGTTGTCGGGCGAGGGTGGGAAGTGATGCGCCCTGCCGGAAGCGGAGCAGACCTGGCTGCGTGCTGGAGGCGCTGGGTGGAAGATGCGCTTGGTGGGAAACTCCTGCTCCTGGTTTTGTGTGCTGTAGTAGCCTCGCTGGCCCCGCCGTGGCAGGCTGAGCTGCTCTCCTCCGCCTTCCTCGCCCCCCAGCCCCGCCCCGAGGAATACTGGGTACGCTTGCCTAGCCTGATACTCAGCTTTAGCAAGTTAATTGCTAGAATGCTGCCTTGCCTTACTACACTGAGCAGAGAGACTGTAGGAGCATTTTTTCGGTTTTGCTGTAGTGGTCAAATGAAGCCAGTCTACTTTGCTGCTCTCCAGACAGACTCCATGGGTGTCAGATGATTTCTTCCCGGAAGAGGATTGCTCTGATAGCGCTTCCCAAGGCTGGAGCGAGCCCCCTCCGGATGGGCGCAAGTCCCAGCAGGCCAAAGAAAAGGCCGGGGCAAGGAAAGTGCGAGGGTGGGATTAGATGGATGTGTGATCTTGGCTTAAGGGAATGCCTTTCCCCTAAGAAGGAGCGTGTAGTCTMGCTCTCTTTGTTAATAAGGCTAATTGTTTGCACCCTTTATTTTTACATTGCCTACATAAAAATAGACACAGATAAAAACGGTGGTTGCTGCATAACCTGCAGCCTGGGCTTGTTTTTCCAACGGGCCACTTAAATTAGAAAAACACCTAGTGTTTGTTTGTCTTTTGATTCAAAGGACTCTTCAGCCCTTGTAGGACAATTGAGGTTCTGTGGTTTCAATTTGTAAACTGTATTTGCAATAGCATTGTTGCATTAGTAACTACAGAACTAATTTTATGCTCTCCTATAACCAGACTTTTTAGAGCTCCTAGGTGTTTCTGGGGGATGGCACTCAATTAATGCCCCTTTCCCCAATAACTGGTATTGATACTTACTTACTTTATCAGTTACCTTAATGATAGAAATGTTACTTTATTAAGTCCTGAGTTAGAGGTATAATGCACAGTATTGTCCTTCTTGGCATGTGTATTTTGATTATTAGGTGAGAAGCGTTATTTTGGAACGTCTAAGTCTTGCAAAATAAATAAAAAAGTCCATCAAGTGTAAAAGTACAGCACTTACCAAGTTAATGGATTGGTTATCTGAGGACATCTCAGCAAGATCTCATGCTTTCATCTCTTTGGTGTGTTGGTAGAGTTTATTTTCTGATGAGTTTTGAGGCATCATTTCTTAGATAGTAGTAATGAGGGGCAAAAATCTGTGCTCTTATAGCTACATTTAGCTGACTTTTCTGTAGCAGGTGAGGTAACAAGTTCMCTTGTAGTTCTAGGTTTGTATATATGGGCATGGTATTATATTTGATTCTTTTTTATTATGTTTCTTCTTGCAATTGTTCTAATGCTCTGTTTTTGAGTACTTACCAGATACTTTATGCATCTATTTGTGGTGCTCTGAGTGCTGTTCTTTAGGCCCCATGAATGAATAAGTGGAAGAAGGGAATCAATGATGGGTAAAAGTAGACATAAGTCTAAGACACAAGGTCAGCCTTGATAAGAACACAGAGTACTAAAATGAGTGGAATAAATACCAGTCCCTGGATCTCACTTGGCCTGTGTTGAAAAATAGCCATAAGCAATGCTCTACAACAATACACTGAGGAACAAAATATTCACAATTAATGTTGTGATGGGAGTAAACATTTTTTTAAAACTTAGTTTATGTATAAAACAAGATATTTTTTTTAAAGAAAAAGTGCATGAGTTTCTCAGTGTCTCATGGAAGAAGTGGATTGTGATTGGAAGCAACARTTAGGAGAAGTTAGTTTAAACATACTCTCTTGCCCTCCTTCACACCATATTCATTTTACAAGCAGACTTTCAGACAGAGCTTAAGGGAATAGTGGTTTTAATTGTCACCAAATTTTACTGCAATGAGAGAAATTTTGTCACTGCAAGAAAGAATTTTAATAAGGAAACTTAGGATTCTTATTTTATCTACTGAATTTGCATGCTGTCTCTTGGATTCCAGACTTTTGTCTCTTCCTCCTGGTTTTCCTATAGTATGTTATATTCTTGGTGAAAATGTTTCTGCTTTGYACTTTCTGACCCACCTACAGAACCAGCAGGATGTTACAAAGCTAGTGTCCTTGTATTGCGGGCTGTTTGCATTCTTTTGGAAATCACAGTAGAGAATGCACCACCCTGTTGTGTCATTCACATGTAACTGCTAGAAAAGTTTTATTCTACTCAGATTTAGAATTCATAGAGATTTTAGTACAATTTTTTTTTACTTAATGCTGAAATACTTGCTTCCCACTTACCTTCTTCTCAAAGATGGAGTTGGGGCTATTAACGAGATTGTTTTATACCATTTGTGGTCATTTAGGAATGTATTTCTCTGTATGTCCTTACAACTTTTCTCCCTTTAGTCTCCTAATAGGAWAACAGGCTTTCTTAAATTGAAATTATTAAGTGGTGTGGTGAAATATGCAACATTTTCCGTTTATTCCGTGCCATCTGTCCTCATATACCCTGGTTGTTTTATTTGGGACTTTTTTATTTATTTGTTCATTTACTCACTTACTAAGATTTCCAATTCCTAGTGTTAGAAATTTGTGGGCTCCTCCGGTTAGTTTCCATGTTTCTGTTCCTACTCTCAAAGCTTAGTCTTAAACAGAGGATGATACATTGTATGCTGGAAACCAACATACTTTTAGATTGTCATGCTGCCCTACGATGGCCTCAATGTGTTTTGTATGCTCCTGGATGATCAGTTACATTCTCAGTACCTGGAGTCATGTTCAGAGCTGCAGCAGCTATGTGTACCTGACTTCTAATGTAAAGCTGCAATTTAGAGAGTTGGCTGCTGTAATTTCCCTATTCTGGAAGTGGTGGAGAGTGCCTGTGTGTCATATTTAGCTGGCTCCGTTTCCTGACTGGCGTTGACAGAGGGGTGCAGCAGGTGAAGTACAGAAAACCTCTTCCTCAGTGGCTTGGATGTGCTTTTCAGGGAGAGGGACACTTGTTATTCTTCAGGCATAGTGCTTGGTCCTTCTCCTCCACAGTGTCTTACAACTCTTCTAGCACACTTTGGTTAACATGTTTCAGGGTATTTCCAGCCCCTGACTTTTGTTAAAATGGATCTTGCAGACAAGGATCACGTTGCCCTTGAGGAACAACACAGTCTCTCTGGGGGTTAGGGCTGCTCACTTGAGTGCTTGGGGCACCAAGGACAGGCAGCAGTTCTCATGAAGGTAGGTCATGGACCTGCCTATGGAGATGGAGAGATCCCTGTGCTACAGCTAGGGACATCCCGTGATGAGGGCAGATACTTCAAGCTGCCTGTATGTATCTTATTATTCCTTTGTCACCCTTGCCCTCCTTTTGGCGATGTGAAGGTGCCACCTGAATGGAAACAGATGTCTGATTCCTGCTGGGGAAACAGCACTGCTTTGAAAAGGGATGTTCTGGTGGTTGCTGCTTGTCATGTGAGGGTGGGATYTCAGGAGGGGAGTGTCACCACATACACGATCTCCTGCAGGCACAAGAACTCTGAAACTAACTCCTTTCACTTTAGTACTCGAGTATTCAATACCTGATAATATCCATGATATCCATTTGTCTGCAGGTATCCTAAGTTTAGACATTTCTTGCTCATAACCTGAAATTTTAACATTCTCTGGTGGTCCTGCTTTCTCCTAATCATTAGTTAGAATGGAGTGCAGGGTAGTGGTCCTTTACTTGTGATAAAAATAGTGTACAAGAGAAATGTTGTGCCTGTAACATGCTTGCATTGCTCTTCATAAAGTATTGCATTCCTAACGACTAAAAAYGTCATGCTTTTTTGTTCTAAAGTGGAATGTTATATTAAGGAGTTTGTTCTTGTGTACCAAAAACCTTTCAGAGTTTAGTAGTGCTTGTGCCTTGAAAATGCTGCTTTATGAGTGTATGTGCATTCTTAACCTGTTACAGAGCTTATGCTGCATTTAGGTTATCTGTCTTACACATCTCATTTTGGAAAGGCACATGAGTTCTTTTAGTTTTTCTAATTAACTGTTTTCAAGTTCACAGTTGTGATGGATCAAGATTGCAGAGATGATAGCAAATACAAAACACTGCCAAACTAAAGAGGGAAGAGCAACAAAACATAGTATRTAAAGGGACTGCACTGTTCTTTTTTCCAAAGCATTGATTTTGGGTTTTTGTTTGCTTCAAACAAGATGYAGAGCCTAAATATAAAGTGTGTAAGCTTAAAATTGAGCGAAAAGTTACTTGTTTCACTGAATAAAAAAAGCTGTTCTTCTCCAAGAAGGATGCAATGAAAGTTCCTCTGAGGGTGATTACTCAAGGAGTTCATACTGACATTAGGTATAAATCCTCTGACTGTTGAGTATTTTCTTAGCAAGATAAACTTTTGTAAACAAATAAATTGTAAGGGGGTTTATGTCGTAGACTACATTTGTGAAATAGTAATGGAAAGTAACTATGAATTAATGTTTTTCCAGTATTGGGGAGTTTTCTTTTACAGCATGTTTTCAGAAATTATATACTCTGATTTCGTGCTTCAGTATTTGCAGAGAAGTATTGCTCTGTCCTGATGGGCTGGGTAACTTGTATTGCTTCCCTTGCTACACTGAGGTGGGGGAAAACAAACCAAAACAAAATATTACTTTAACATCTAACTGCTTTCTACACCTGTGCCATTTGGTTGGTCATGAGTATTAAAATTATATAGTTAGAAAAATCAAAAGGCGACAGAGGGAGATGAACAGAATTGTTTGTGGCATAGTTGTTAGTGTAGTTCCTTGTTGAAAGGGATGGTAGCTGTATTCTACCTCTTATCTGTTTTTATTAGTTTGTTTCAAAGTAGCCTAAATGACCACTAGTACTCCTCTCCTAATGTGAGAGTATTAATGGACAGTCATAACTTCAGGAGGACAAAGTTGTATCCTTGCCAACTTTATAGGGGGTAGATTTAGATATAAGAGAAATTCTTCATTGTGAATTGGTGAGACACTGGAACAGTTTGCCCAGAGGAGTTGTGGATRCCCCATCCCTAAAAGAGTTCAAAGTTTTGAGCAACCTCAARCGTGTCCCTGCCTGTGGCAAGGGGGTTGCAACTAGATAAGATTCTTTCCAACTTAAGCAATGCACTTCAGTGGTTTAATTGTGGTAACCAGGATACTGTCTAATGTTTAGTTATACTTGAACAGTGCAAGAGTAGTGTTCAAATTCAGCCATTTGATGTCTCAAGGAGATAATTTGGAATTAATGATGTTTTTCCCCCTCCCCTTAGTAGCTGAGCTGGACTTCTTTTGCTTACTGTCACATAATTGTTCTCTAGATCATAATTATTTAATAAATACTGAGACTTAATTGTTTTCTTACAGGTGCCACAAAATACACTGATAAAGATAATGGAGGGATGCTTGTATGGTCTCCATATCATAATATTCCCGATGCCAAGTGTAAGTCCTTGCCTGCTTGGGAATTGGGGTGCTTAAGTAAACTAAACAATTGYTTCTGGTGTGCCTGTTTACTCTTTATTTTACACACAGTGAAACTACAAATTAATTAAACACAAAGCTTCTCTTTATCTTATTTAGAGAACTCCAGGTAAAGGAAAGATGACCTTCTCCTATATTAGTAAAGTTTTTGTTTCTAATCACACCATGTTATATTATKATCGTAATCATTGTCTGTGAAACCTTTTTGTTATTAATAAAAGAATAAAGTATCTGAACATGAGGAACTTGCTGCTTTAAATTTCTGGGAGAAGGAGTTGCAGTGGATGAATTCAGAAAAGATGTGGTGAGGCCCACTTCAAGGGGAAGTTGTTATTACTATCATACGAARAAAAACCAAACATCTTCTCCCTTAAGAAGTGACCYGAAATACAGCAGTGATCTGACTAAATGTGATCAATTATCKGTTTAATCTAGTTTAAACCAGTCTYCTATGMTAGAGTTTCCCATATGTAAAATAGGGGAGTAAACTTTGAGGATGCAGCCATGAGAACCTCATCCTCTGGACAGTTTCTRCCTAATACCAGTAGTTAGGGGTTTGTGTCCTTCTGCATTTGAGGGAATGCACTTTCAACTACTGCAGAACAGTTGAAAATAAAATACAACTGTGATTATTAAACACTTTCTTTATTCCTTTAAAGTATAATTAACCCTTTGCCGCAACAAAATATGGCAAGGATAGCCCTTGTCCATATGAATAAAGAGGATATGATTATTTCCTTTTCTTGRTCATGCTTCCTTTCATCTATTTAGATGCCACTTAATTTTGAGCTCCTAAAGGTAAATAGGAAGAGTTTTTGTTTAAAAATAAAAAAGTAGGACTTAATTTCGAAATTATATAAAGTGTTCAACTCAAAACTGGCTCTATTATTGCTAAATATGATTTTTAAAATGTTATTTGTGAATTTCATTACCTAATTATTGAATTTTCATACTTTGTATTAAAACTGACTTTGTGTCATAGTTAAAATCAATATTGGTCATTTAAAGCTATAGTAATGTTGAGGCTATTCATAATCCTATACAGATAGAATCTCTATAGGATCTCCTTGCTTTAATTTTCAACATGTTTGGAAATATGAGCAGTAGAAGTAGTCCAATTTAAAACTAACCCAGGAGTAGGTTCCAAAAAGGCATAGCCTTTCCATAACCAGCTAGCCTCTGCTTTAAATAAATAAATTATGAGCCTCTGTGGCTTTGTGGTAGTAAAAATGTGAAAGAAAGCAGAACTGGCTTGTGTGAAAAGTTTATAAAATTAAATGTTCAGTTATAGTCAATGGGCTTATCTATTATTAATAAAGCTGTGAATATATTTAACATTTTGGGGGACCTGGGTCTATGCAGTGTTTTAAAGCATGTGGWCACTCTTTTCCCATGTAAGATGGCTAATTCTGTCATAGAGCAGAGCTAAAAGTACTAAAGAATAATTGTGACATTGCTTTGTTACAGTGGATGAATATATAGCAATAGCAAAGGAAAAACATGGATACAATGTGGAACAGGTAAGTGCTATGGAATGAGAGTGCTCCTTTAAAGGATTTTTTTTTTAAACATAAAACTATAACACATCTCTTTTATTTTTCCCCTTGGTTACCATTAATTAACGCTGTTTCTCTTCAGGCACGGCAGCAAACACTGCAGTTAAATGGATCTGCATACAGTTGTGGTCTGGATTCTCTGCAAAAGATTGAGCTCTTTGTTTTCATGACATGCTCAGCTTGTAATGTGCACTTTTGAAAGGTTTGGTATGTTTTTTGATACACTGGGCATGTCATGCAATTGTGTGTGTATATTTAGCTAAAGAGTTTCTTAGGGAAGCAGCTTACAAATCTAAAGTTTAACATTAGAATGCAAATACAATACAATTTTGAATCATTAGTTGATAGGGATGGCACTGAAAMGGTTTCTGTCATTATAAAAAAGGTAAACCAACCTCAGTTGAGTGGGTTTTTTCAGAGGCAAGAGAACRGACTCAAATTTTAGATCTGAAAGTAATAAGTTCACTTTTTATGTATTGACCTTTGGTCAGTATTCCTTAAAAAGTAAGGATAAAACATTGCTGGTCTGCATGTAGTTCTATTGCAATTTTCTTMGTAAATTAAATTCGTAAATTTTCTACAAACTATGTAGAAGCGAGATTACCTATTGCAAAAAAAAATTGCTGTACAAATGAAAAGAAGTTGTATGATCAAGTTTTGGAGGATGTAAGCTTGCTCATCAACTGCTGACAAAGAGGCTGCCAGTGTTACAATGTCCAAAATACCTGTGCTTTGGTGTTGCTTGTTTATCCCTTGACTTCTGTTGGGCAAGACGGGGAACTGATGGATCTCAAGTCTCCAAGAGATGGATTTTCAAAATAACTTCCAGTCCAAAACATTTGTAGACTCGTCACAGTGGAATAGAAATTATCTTTGCAAGAGTTGCATGTTACTTGCCATTTTAACCAGAACAGAGGTTTGCTGTGTTCAGGCTGTTGGAAGATGTGAAATCAGGGGGTTGGAGAGACAACTGGTGATCGTGTCTGCACTGTATGSTTGAAACTGAGTAGATTACATTTCCCAAATCCCATGCCATATTTGGCATCAAATCTGTCAGTGATTCTCTGGCAGAAAGTCTAATGAACACTAAATTCTTTTAGAAAATCAAAAGAAATGAAATTATATWAAAAAGTGTATTTAAATTTCCGTTCATTATTAGGTGCACGTGACTTGGAAGTGGCCGTGCTGTTATTTGTAGATTGGGGAGTTGTAGAAAGACCACTCTCACTTTGAACTTTCAGACTTGCATTTTGGATGATCCTCTGGCTACTGAAAAGTATTTTTATTTTCTTTTTTTTGYGTAGGCTGGTAATAAAGGCCTATAAGTAACTGTGTAGGTGCTATATGCCTGTGAAGTAAGAAAGCAGGTCAGATTTGAGCCTCTCAGCCTAGTTCATGCTGCTCTAGAATTACTGCTGCCATGCCAACCTTAAATTGGCTTTCATACCATTAATAAAGTACAGATGTGCCCACTGTCTCCAAAGAGAATTTTGTAACCTATAGTAAATAGCCAGTAAAATTGTRAATACATTTTGAGAAGGGTTTCTGATAGTCAAATTTCCTTTTAAATAAATAAATTGCCTGTTTTTATTTAACTTGTCTCAATGTTTTAGAAAATTGACTAAATCCAAAGAGGGACTGTTTCTTTTTAAAGGCTCTCGGCATGTTGTTCTGGCATAAACACAATATTGAGAAGTCCCTTGCGGATCTCCCCAATTTCACTCCTTTCCCCGATGAATGGACSGTTGAAGATAAAGTCCTATTTGAACAAGCATTTAGCTTCCATGGAAAGAGCTTTCACAGGATCCAGCAAATGGTAAAGTAATATTTTAATCAGAAGCATTAAACAGCTCAGATGCACTAAGAGCAAAGGCTCCTGTTGGGCTAAAATTTCATGTTGATTTGTGTGGAAAAGCTTCAGGAAGAACCTTGAATATAAGGTTTAATTTAATTTCATCATGTCTCTTGGACATACAGCTTTTTCACTCTAATGAACAGAAGCCTTGCCCCTTTTTAAAAATGTGTATGGAATGCATCCCTCCTTTCTATCTTATCAATGCATTTAAAATATCATTTAAAGATATTTATAAACAGAACAGAATTATAACTGTGGGTAGAATTTTAATTTTTAGAAGTGTTAATATGTTGATGAATTCTTTTAGCTCCCAGACAAGACCATTGCAAGCCTTGTAAAATATTACTATTCTTGGAAAAAAACTCGCTCTAGGACAAGTTTGATGGACCGTCAGGCTCGAAAACTAGCCAATAGAAATAATCAAGGTGACAGGTAAGTTTTATGTTCTTAAGTTGCTGACCAGAGATTGAAGTCTTCCTGAGTAGAGATGTGGACTAATTTCTTGCTRTTGTTTCAGTGTGAACCTTGCGTTTTAGGTCGGAGCCCCTGTTGTGATGTCTCTCATTTTAGCAAGAGGTTGGGTATCTGTGCTTTAAGAACTTTGTCATGCCAGTCTRTGTGAGTTGTAATAATAAATGGGAGAGTTTTAATGGATTACTGTAAAAACAAGGATTTTACAARCCCTCAGGTCTTAATTCCTGTCTGTGCAGGAGGGTGTTTTTGTAGGTGTCAGGGGGTTGGGGATTTGTCTGTTTGTATTTTTGACTAATAAGGGGTTAAAACCGAAAGTTCAACCACTGTAAAGAGAATGACTGATAGCAGTTCTAAGTCTCCTAAAAAGAGRCTTTAWAAAAAGTTTTGTAATAAAACAATACTTAGGCAGAGACAGAGCTCAAAATAGTTTTGCTTTCTTGCMTAGAAGGACATAGCATTTCTCTCAGTTACTACGAAATGAAAATTACATTGTGCTTTATATACTTGAGTATTAACTTGCACCTTGTAAAAGGTGTTATGTGTTGCATGTATAAGTAATGGAATCTATGTTTATATTGGAAGCTATAATTTTATATCTGTAGAAAACTGCCTAACTGAAGCAAAATAGGACTTTTAAATTATACATAATTTTCAATAACCCCTGAAATCTAAATTTCATATGCTTATTTAGTGACCCTGTTTCTTGTCACAGTTTGAGATAATGTTTTCAGAGAGAAACGTTACAGGATAAAYGTTTCCTCTGAAGTGAAAAAGTTTGATAATTTTTTCTCACCAATATGAARCAGGAGTTTGGGCGAATGTGGAGAGAAAAATAGTTTATTAACAAAACAAGGTGCCCACAGGACACAGATTTAATAAAACAACTGAGTAACTGTTGGATATTTAAAACTCCTGGAACACAYGCCGCCCCCTACCCCACCACAGCTGCTCGGGACGTGGTGCAGAGAAAAGATGGCGGCTCCTGTCCCCGGGAAAAAGAAACAAAAGTCCATGTGGCTGCTCAGGCAACAGTGGAAAAAACCTGGAGGCAGTCCTCTCCTCAYTGTGGATGAAACAGAGGGCTCGATGTGCTTTCCTCTGGCCGACTTGGCTTCTCTGGAGTCCGGGATGATATGGAGGGGCGCTTGCCACTTCTTCCCTGCTGGCGCCCAGCTGGTTGGTGCTTGCCTCATGGTTCTCGGACCACAGGCCCACCAATTCACTCCAGAAAATCACAGGAGTCACAGAAGGGGTGGCAGTCCAGGGAGAGCTGTTTGCCTAAGCTAACAAACCCGAGCTGGCTAAGCAGCAGCAATGTAACTCTGCTGCATGCAGTGAGCTGAGCTCCCAAAGGCAGGGGCAGCGTGGCAGCTGCAGCTTTGAACAGCCCACGCTGCCTTCCCAGCTGCCGCTGCCCCTGCCCCTTCTTCTGGGTTGCATTCAAAGGCACAAGCACCTTTTGGGCATACAAGCTGACGGAATATAGGAATACAGGATGGGCATAAAATCAACGCAAGAAAAGGCTAAAATCAGTTTGGTTTTACTATAGCAGTTTGGGGAGTTTTGGTAATAACTAGGAATTCTAGTGTGGTTTTGCATTAATTTATTCAGAAATGATATTGTCAGAATGACTGGATTGGGCTTAAATTGACTGTTTTCTTTTTAACCTTTCCTCTTCGATGTAATTCATCAGATTTCATTTTCCTTCTCTAAGCTGCCAGATTTTAAGCACTTTGGTGAAAAAGCAGTTCATGTTTTCCCATCATATATTGTTGCCTTATGCTCACCACAGACTTCAGCAAGGGTTTTATTCACCTGGTGCAGTGGTTTTAAAATTGGTCTATTAAAACTAATGAGGCAAATGAAAGGATTTTTTTCTGGCCTTGGTATATAGTTGCCCACCCTGGCACAAATTGTTGAATTAAAGAAAAGTGACACCAAAATTCTTGACAGCAGCAGCAGCACTGCTTAAAGTAACTTTGAAACTATGGTTTARGATTGCTTGTTTTCGTAATAATTACTAGAATTTAATACAGAAAATATGCTTGTAACATTTTTTTTGTAAACTGCAAATAATTTTGAGATGCCACGTACATAGAATAGATAAACTCGAGTAGATGATTCTGTCCTATCTTGTTACATTCTTGTATTTGAGTTTAAAAAGTARTTAAGTGACCAGTTTTTTTTATAATCTGTCTTTAGTGATGATGATGTAGAAGAAGCTCATCCAATGGATGGAAATGATAGTGATTATGATCCCAAAAAGGAAGCCAAAAAGGAGGTAACAGATAACTTAATGGTGAATGTCAGTTTGTTTGTTTTCAGTGAATGTGTTACTGTGAAGAGTGAGTTTTAGTACAGAGGTTTAGCTTGCAGCTTGCTGAAATCACAGGGTCTTTAAGTGGTCAGGATCTTGACATATTCTCATTAAAAGAAATTTTATTGTGTATTTTTGCCATTTGGTGGCTGTGAATATATCTTCCATTTACCTCCACTGTGCCCTGAGAGATGTTCAGGTTTTATAAGAGATATATGCTCTCACAACTGGTAAAACAGTATTTGCCCTCTATCAGTCTTGATAATATGTTTACAGTTTTACTGGTTGTGAATTACTTGAATCAGAATGTTTTCTCTGAATTTTTAAATTAAATTCCATTTTTCTAGGAACAACTTTGTTGTTTTTTCAAAGCCACAGTGAGGTGATGCATTTCAACTAATATGTGGTTTTACTGAGRTGCTTTCTACTAATAAACGTAGAGAAAGATTTTTGTCTTAATGAGCACTTATTGTTAGCTTTACAGTTGAYTGCTGTGTGCAGGTTATGTTCAGGTTTTAGGGCTTTTTTGAGTTCTTGTAAACATTAAGCTATCTCTGAACAAGCCTAGAAAAATACATTGAAGAGTGTAAATGTTTGTTTCTTTGATCAACTTCAAGCATTTGTGATTTTCCTAAATCAGCCAGTTCATGCTTCTCAAGAATGGGAGAAGAGGTTATGCAAAACTTCAGCACTCTCATGAAGTGGTATCTAGGATTATGAATAAAGCTTTGCACTTCTAACAAAAATGATACTGAGTAAGAAACTGGTAGGTTTAGTCTCTGTTCTGAGCTTTGCAGTGACCTTCAATGTCTCCCTTTATCTAGCTGGCCTTGGGGGAGAAAGGGAGAATTACCCCTTTCTGTGGAAGAGTTTGAGATTTTTTTTTTAACATGGGGGTATCTTTTATAGCACTTGAAATGTCACATGGTCTGATAAGGCACCTTTTTACTTTTATGCTGTTCTAACAATGTTAGATTGGAGTTGCTGCCTCAGCCATGTCTAAATATGGGCTGTTTTACTAATTTACTTAATTATCTTTTGAGTCCTTACATGCAGTCCAGAATACATGTAGTGTGTAGATAGACTTCTAGGAACAGGACAAATAGGTTTGTAGTTTCTGATGAGCTGTTTGGATCTGCACAAGATAATTTTGTGATCTAATAGTTCTGGTAGGATTTGTGTATTTTCACTTCCTAAGCAAAATATAAACTGAGTAGGCTGTTTGAACAGAGCAATGGAAACTCTCTGTTACCAGATGAAACGAAAATAACCTAAACTCTCTGTCTTGGCAAGACAAAAGTGTGAAAGAGTATTTTCACTTTAAATCCAGACTGAGCAGACAGGAGCTGCAGTTTCATATTGAAAGAGCAATGCAGAACCAAAACCCAAATGGTRTAAACCAGACAGAAGTAAATTTAACCTTGTCAGAGATGTAARGCTCTACCTCAGTTTTCCAAGGAAAAGCACATACCTTAAATGCTTTTTAGGTGRCCTCCATGAAGTCTGTGGACTGGATTAAGATGTTGTATTAGCTGGGGAAGAGAACGTGGCAGAAGATCAAGTGTAGTAGAACAAGACACTGTTTGCTACTCTGTACTCCTACTCCAGAAAACAACAACAATAATAATAATAATAATAATGGCTGCTGCACTTCATTTTGCAGTCAYTGTGATCAGATGACCACCTCCTCTTAACATGCATGGATGCCAGCAGGGAGGAGCAGTAGGGAGCTGCTTGAAGTAGGGAAAAGCCTGAATCCTCTTTCTTTTCTGGTATTAGACATTGCTTTGAATTAGAAAATCCTTGCAGAGAGAGTAATTTTTGTGTCTCTGCTCCTGGTCTMTAGGAAAGCTACTCAGTTGCTCTGAGGGAGTCACATGCAGAGTAGCAGTTGTGCAGCAGTGCCCATTGAAGACAAAGCTGAAATGTTTAGGTGCATATCAAAACAGTTATAGAGTATTCACTTCTTCTTTACCATTCCTTTCCTCTCCAAAGAAGCAAATAACAAAGGCTCAAGTTTTCTAAATTACATGGATTTTTATAAAGACTGCAAGAGGATGTCCATACTCTGTCTTCTAAATCAACCCTCCCCACCCCTCTAACCAAACAGCACAATTTCTGTCTGTAGAGTGCTCACAGCAGGGAGAAATGTCATTTTGTATTCTTGCCTGGCCTGGTTCACTTTGTCATTCTTCTCCCTTAATTTTTGCACAAATTCTTGGTATCTGATCAGAAATAGATGTCTAAGTCATCAATTACTCRTTTTAAAAACGAGATACATACATGTATATTATTTACCTTCTGCGTATGTAAGAGGTTCTCAGTGTTTGCTCTCTGTTATAGTATTCAGACTGGGATTTTGTCATATTTATTGTATTTGTGGTCATGTTAAAAAAAAAGTTTTGAAAACTGACCTTTCTTAGACTAATGCAGGCTTATCCAGCAAATGACTAGTATGCTCCATGAGTTCATCTGCAAGACATAGTTGGATACTACATGCAAAGGAGAATCTTAGCTTCTAAGTTTTATTTGTCATAAATATGACAATATTACAATGCTATCTGATACTTCATTCTTTTTAGTAAAGTTGTATACAAGACACTGTTCTTTAATGGTTTATTTCTTGTAAATTAAAGGGCAATAATGAGCAGCCTGTTCAGACCAGCAAAATAGGTCTGGGTAGAAGAGAATATCAGAGCTTGCAGCATCGTCACCATTCCCAGCGTTCCAAATGCCGGCCACCAAAAGGCATGTACCTGACCCAGGAAGATGTGATAGCTGTTTCCTGTAGTCCCAATGCAGCCAACACAATTCTTAGACAGCTGGATATGGAACTAATCTCATTAAAGCGACAGGTACCATGGGTTATTGGTCTTGGTTTTTTTTTCATCTCAGATTGTTCTGATTGTAATTGGTTTTGAAGATTATCTGTGAAGATTCTGAAACTTCTTTAATGTGAGTCTTCCTCATTTTGTTCCACAGTTATCACCACAAATGCTGGACAGTAGCTGGTCTTCGGTTTTGTTTTTTACATTCATCTGCTCTTTTGGATAAAATGAAGCAAGATGACTTTTTACTTAAAAAAAAAAGGAGGTAGCATTAAAACAGTGCTACAGATTTGGGAATGGAAAAAAAATCCAAAGTCACGTTTGATTTGATTGTTTTTTTTTTACTTTGTTACTAGTATTTGTATGAAAAGTGAAAATGAAACCAACGGAGCAGAGGAAATTACATTTGTTATGCTTAAAATTATCGCTGTTTTTTCTGGATGTCCTTTCCCAYATACTATGAAAGTATGGGAAGTGTATGGAAATCATGTGCCTACTTATTTCTCTGTTTGAATTGATAAGCTTTCTATTTATTAAATTTAGAAAAGCTTTGTAGTCTTCACCTTTAAGAGGAAAATTGCCTGCATCCTTTGCATGAAGAAATTAAATTTTGGCACTTCAAGTTGAAAGATGTAATTATTCCGCTTCTAAGGGTACAGCAGTTATGTGCATGCTTACTTTCTAGGAGCGATGGGGCTACAGAGTCAAAGCTTGTCTTCTGGAATTTTTGCTTCCCTGTAGAGCTGCCATGTTGCAAAATCATGGAGTGAATAAAGGGTTTCTTTCATGGGGTTTTTGCTCCCTCACATTCTTTTACAGGAGAAATAAGCTTCTTTCTGTCACAGCAGGACTCTGGGGCTAAATAGCATAGGTGGGTTTCACTCTTTAGGCTAAGTGTAGGTGAGTTACAGCCTTGAGGTTGTGTTTCTCTTTTTTTTTCTTGCAGTGATCTCAGAGATGCAGCCTTTGGAATCTCCCACTGAGTTGTCTGCTTTTGTGTCCATACTTAAGAACCCTTGTAATAGCTGTGCACCATAGTATGAAAAACTATTTTCTTACCTATGCTACCTTACGTACATCAGTGTCAGGTTTCAGTAGTTCATAGATACGTATATGTACAATTTGGAAGCTCTGTCCTTATCATAAACTAAGAAATATTTAAAATAATTACGAGAATCCCCCCTAAAGAAAATCACAGTGATCTAAGATCGATAAAAAGCATCTGTCAGAATGCTTCCAGAACTAACTGGAAACATCTCATGAATTTTTTTTTTTGAGAAGGAAGAAGTTAGTAATGTAATAAAAGCAATACATCCCAGATTTCTGAGAATCAAGTTTTGTGTCTAGAGTATTTTTCATTCAAGAACATATACATCCTTATCAGAATTTACTTGTTGTGAACAGGTTTTAATATTCTTACAGACAAACTRTTCCGTTGAAAGACTGGCTTAATTTTTTTTTCTCCATAGTAAACTGTGTTGTGTTTTGTTTTGGTTTTTGTAATTTTTTTTTAAACAGTTAAAAGTAGTGAAGCCTTAAACCATAATATTTCTCTTTTTAACTTAGGAGGTACACTTGTGGCAATCCTAGTGAAGATAAATGTGTAAAGTGACCAACTTTCTTTGTGGAGCTGATTAACTTTGTTGTTTTTGACCAAGGTTCAAAATGCTAAGCAAGTAAACAGTGCACTTAAACAGAAAATGGAAGGCGGGATTGAAGAATTCAAACCTCCTGAGGTAAATCAGAATATRTATTAAAACTTGTGGCCTTGTACTTACTTTAGTGGGAAGCTGCAGAAATGTGTTTTGCTCCAACCTAGTGTTTGCACTCCAGCTGCAGCTTAAACAGGMTCCATTAAATTAAATGCAGGGGGAAGTCTGGCTTTGTTACAAGAAATTGGTGGTAGGCTGGTTTTTAATGGCAACTGGTTGAAAATTAGGGGAGCTGAAATTGAGCCCCGATACATGGGGGTTTTGGGTTAAAAATAGGTAATGTAGATTGCCAGCAATAAATTCTGTGTACTATGTGAAAACATGACACAATACACATTTTGGCATCTGAAATGAATTATCTATTATTACTCATGTTCTCTTTGCTTGTTTTAAAGGCTTGGATATGAAACATAACATGAATGTAAAAYACTCTAAACACCAAGTCCAAACAGTTTAGATAAATGTTACTATAAATTCAAATTTTATCTGCGTAAAGATCATTAGCTTGTGCGTTAGTTATTATATAGCTGATACTAAGAACTTTAGTAAAACAGAGGAAAAACTACTGGCATAATTTTAAGCTCAAATTTATAAATACTATGTCCTCTTCATGAAAACAATCTGAAAATATAAATTTTAATGGCTTATAAGCGAGAGTTTTTAACCTATTTTGCAAAAGGTATTGTGAGTAAAACGCATTGATGCAGCTGTTGAAACAATTTAATGATCTTCGTGCCATTTTTCTAATTTTAATAGTCTAATCAGAAAATCAATGCCCGTTGGACCACAGAAGAGCAGCTTCTTGCAGTACAAGGTATGTTAACAGTAGCAGCAAGTTGAAATCTGATGCTAAGGATTTAAAGAGGTACTCAGGCTTAAGTTTGTATTTCCCTCTAATGAAAATCAAAACTTGTATCTGGTCACAGGAAAGCAGCAAAACTGTTGAGAATATTTAGGGCATTTATTCAAGCAACATGACACTAGGCTTTCTGTTACCCATGTTAAATTTCAAAGAGAAAAGCTAAGCAGGATTTAACAACTGTATTAGTACCTTCAATCATCTTTTAAATCACTGTACAATCATTTCTCTAAGGTGGAAGACTAAAGCAATAGTTAAAGTAATAAAATTTGAAGCATTTAAGACATCTTCATATTCCTGAAGTRGGAAAAAGCAGAAGTAAATCTGTTTTACACTTGCTTTTCTCTGTTCATGAAGGCAGGTGTCTACCCATTAGGCCTTTTAAGAGTCTGGAGCTGGATACGGATGTTTGACTAACAGYCCTACTGGGCKAAAGCCCCAGCATTTTCTAGTAGGYTGTTCATGCAGCTAATTTGCATTTATTTCATTTATATGAAGGAAAACTGACTCTTTGAATAATGTGCACTGCCCAGTCAAGGAACATGTAAGGGAATTATCTGGAGATGCTGTCTTGAAAACATGTGTTGTCTATATATTGACTCATTTATATGGATCATCTTTATAAAGATAATAGCTCAGTTATATATCTRTCTGCTTTATCCCTCTGCAGTCTCCACCTTGAAAATGAGAGAYTGAGTTTTAGTATAAAATATTCTGTGGATCAGGGTATCAGTGTAAAGTTGTCAGGTATGCCATACCTGGTACTTATTAGTCAGGTGACTGAACCTAAAGTTAAGTTTATTTTGGAGTGTGAATGGAAATACAGAAAGACATGGTGTGTCTTAAATCATGCCTTTTAACTTACATGCCTCAGGCTTGGATTTGCATCTCCAAACTGTCYTCTCTCCTAAATTCATTCTCACACTATTGCCAAACACTTCAGTATTTTGTTCCCAGATGCAATTGAGGGAGATGCCTGTCTCTAATGTGATAGTCTAGTAAGTAGAAGGCTTGCTGGAGAAGTGGGGAAAATCCAGGGTTATTGTGCTTGCCTTAGAATGAAAGGATTCAAACCATCTTGCCTTTTCATAGTTTAGTTATTGGAGTTCTCACTAAGCAACAGTTTGGGAAGTGAGAAGAATACATTCAGCTTTTGTTCAGCTATGGCACTCTGTGACGAACAAGACAAATAAACTGGAGCCTGGACAAACGAGAGTGAGGGTTGGTAGTGACTTTTTGGAGAAGAGTTCTAGTCTTCCTGTCTCTAGGGAATGTTTTATGTTTTATCAAGGTAGTCAGCCTTAAGCAGGGGTGAGACATCTGGCCTTCTGGAAGAAATCTGTTTTCATTGGCCTGTGCTTCTCATATGTATTGTTTCCTTTATGGTGCCCTTCCTTTGTCASTGTATAAAATGGAAATGGGAGGGAATCTTTATGTCAAGAAAGAAGTGTTCTAATTATCCTTCCCTTACCTACTGCTCACTCTCTCTTCTGGAATGAGGGCACTGTGGGTATTCACCTCCCATCCCTCAGGCTAAGGACCCTGATCTCTTGCTTCAGAGTAATTGCTTGAGGTAGTAGACTCTAGGCATGAGGGAGTCATGCTGTGTTTTTCTCTGACTGTTTTTAGAAGGTCACCACAGTTGCTGTATTAAAAACTTCCACAATGTGCATTAGGCTTGGACTTGAAAATTGATTTGAACATGGGACATTTAGTTTGTATGCTTCAAAATAGGTTTATTTAATTAAATGTATTGGTATATTTTGGCATATGCTTCTAATAATTTTACAGAAATCATAAGCATTAAGCGGGTAGGTGGCACTTATGCAATTTTTTCCCTTGAATTTGGACAATAAATCTAACCATGGAAATCATAAAAATAATCTGCAATAATATAATTTGGGTACTGTTTTTCCTAAACATGAAAAACTGATTATCTTTAGGCTAATCTCAAGAGATTCCCTCCTCAGTTACTGGCAATGGGAAAACTTACCTTAAAATAGAGCTGTGTGTAATCTTAAAAGCAGTGTGGGTGCCTGCAATGGGGTTGTAGATTCAGCCTTACAATCTCTGAGCCAATATATTTGCAATATAATTTATCAGTTGTTGGATGTAATGGGCTAGTTCTTCACTCAGTGTCCTTAAGTTACAAATTTTATTTATAGAGATGTATGACCATGATCRTATTTTCAACCTTAGATCTTGGCCATGTAAAATGCAATTGCAAAAATGTTTTAACACTTGTTCAAGACAACAAAATGTGCATTGAAAAGCAGTGTATGACTTACATAGCATTGAAGGAAAAACAGTTGGGACAATTAAGATCTAACTCTACATAAGACAGTTGCCTTGCCAGGAGCACTGCAATCCCATCCCAGTGAAACTACAGCTCCCATTAACTATTTCTGCCTYGTTGTGGTGCCGTGTCATATTGCTTTGCACCCTGATTAATGTTTTGTGTTTGCTGTGCTGTGCAACATTAAGCAGTGTAAACAGCATCAAACTTGGATTTATGAGTTTGTCCAAGAGAGACATTCAAGATGAAAYACTGTAATCAGGAGCATGCACGTGTTCCAGTGTACCTTTGCTGCTGGGTGAAGTGTTGAAGAGTTWGAAGGATTCCTGTGATCTGGGCTGCTTTCAAATGAGCTCGGAGAAAGCCATACATGGGAAGCGAGGCTATGCAGCCATCCTTTTTGAACTTCACTTTCATCAGCCTAATAAAATTAATTTTATTGAATAATGGATTAAACACGTGAGAAATAATTTGGGTGATGTTTGGCACTGAAYTTTTATAAGGATGCATAAGTAATGTGAAAGGGATGTTTCACAGGGATGATGGCTTGCACCAACTCTTACTGATAGGCCATCACCTTATACATTAAAGTTTCATAAACATGCAGTGAATTTTCTCTATTTCTTCTGTAGCTTGAGAGGCTTTTAGTACATGATTGTAGTAGAGCAGTAGTAAAAACACTGAAAATAATCCAAACTGAGTAGTGCTGTGTGTAGCCAAACTAAAGAAATTTTATTTTCTTCAGGTTTTTTGGGTTCTTTTGAGTTCTAGGTGAAGGCAAGATACCTTGTTTTCAAGCTGTTTGCATGGAAATAACAAGCTTTAAGACCTGTGTTGACTACCTGTGTTAAAGTTAGCCAACAGGCTCAGTGATTTTGCAGAGTAAGGGAGAAAAGAAGTATAGACAGCATATAAAAGGCTGAAATCACTAAAAATATGAATTAGTTTTTAAACAGAAGTGTGCTTTGTTCTGGTGGGCACCTTGTTCACTTGACTAATTGTACAGCATTTGAGATACATTGCAGTGGACATTTCACGTTCATTATAAATTAGTAAGTGTGCTAATGGTAGGGCAGACAAAGAATACTAAAATACTGCAGGCAGTGTTCGTGGGCGCACACAGCTCTTAAGGAGTATAGCTGATAGCTTGTATAGCTGATAAAGCACAGAGCCAAATGCCTGTCTTTGCTTTGCCTGGATCCATGCCCTCCCACGTGAGTCTGAAATCTTTCCAAGGTTTCTGCAATCAGGAGGGTTGTATTCCTTTGTACGCCCCAGAAAAGATACTAAATAATGTAGCTGGGCTCTTGACAGCTGAAACATCAGCTTCAGCTGCAGAATTTGTTACTGTCCTGGAGGTGAACTTTTCTTTTAAATTGCAGGGAGTGTGCATTACCACATCAGAAGTGCCTAGTAATGAGGAAAGTATAAAGGAGCAGAACAAACTGAAGGTCACACTCTTCACAATTAAGTTGAAAAGGAACATAGCTTTCAGATTTGAAACAACTCTCACTTTCTGAACACTTTGCTTCATTTTCTGAAAGTGAGGCGTGAAATCAGGCATAAATTTCTTTTCCTGTAATGAGAAAGAGTGCCTGTCCTCTAAGCCCTGTAATATGTTTCAAATGAGTTTAGCTATCAGAAGCTTCAGAGGAGAAGTAAAATTGTMATTCACTCATGCATAACTCACAGGGAAAAAAATGAGTCTTCTGTTTACTCACTCTGGAACAAAATTGGTTTATTTCTTCAAGTCTCCAAACTTTTTCACACTTGTAATTAACAATATACTTTGTGCAGCTAAAAGCTGTGTTCTAGGAGGTAAGAGWGGTTGAAGATTTTTTTTCTTGAGCAGGAGAGGGCAATAACTCAACACACTCTAAATATAACAAAATCAATAAATTTTTTAATTATAATTCAAATTTTAAGTTAAAAACTGAAATATTGCACTCAATAGTTTCTTGTGTTGTATGCAAATGTAGATTTAGAAATACTTAAAATATATGTTGGGATTTTCTTTTGAAGTGCTCATAAATGGGAGTGATTGCTGCTGTTGGTGCAAAAATTAATGAAAAGAACATAGCAAGGATCACCTGTCAGGCTGCTTCTCAGTAGGGGATTGAATCCTGGATGCTTGTATTGGGCCAGAGACTTGTCTGTTGAAGCAGACACCAGTAGCTTACATATATTTACATTCTTCAAGGTGGTTGTTCCAAACTCCCAGATTTTTCTGCCCGGTTTGAATGGTGAATGAAAGCTTCAAACAGACTTGTGAGATGAACACTTGCCAGTTGCTCTGTGTAGCCTGAGTAAAGCATATCACAAGTGCAGGAATGAGCAGTAAATTGTGATTTAGTGAACTGTGTCCCCCTGTTCTGCCCTCTGCCACGCCTGCCTCACTGGCTGTGGGAAAGAATCATCTGCAGGCAGCTGGCATGGAGGGAACCTGAAGGAGCTGTCAATGTTTGACATTTCTAGCATTATGTTCTGTTTACAGCTATGCACACATGCTTGGTCACCCTTTCTCCCCTCTTGAGCTGGTCAAGGCTTCTGCCCTTAATGTGAGCGCACTGAAGGATTTACTGTGTTTGTCAGAGGCCGCATCTCTGGTTTTAGGTTGAGAGGCTTGGCGAGTAAGCCAGGATCTTTTAAGAAGAATGGGTAATGACTTTTTAATAAAGTTCTTGATTTGTATGCTGATAGCTGTGCTATTAAAAATTACTTTGTTTTAATGGAAATTGAGGCCTTCTCCTAATTGAGAAGTTCTCCTAATTAGTGAGTCCTCAGTTTGCAGGTCCCATAGGTTCTCTCTATAAATACATCACACGTAGCTGTGTCTGACTGATTCTTCACAGCTATGTTATTTACTTTGCCTTCCAGGTGTCCGAAAATATGGTAAAGATTTTCAAGCTATTGCAGATGTAATTGGCAACAAGACTGTTGGCCAAGTGAAGAACTTCTTTGTAAACTACAGGCGTCGGTTTAACTTAGAGGAGGTATTGCAGGAATGGGAAGCGGAACAAGGAACCCTGGCTTCTAATGGTGATGCTTCTGCTTTAGGGGAGGACACAAAAAATACTTCTAATGTGCCATCAGGAAAGAGCACTGATGAAGAAGATGAGGTGTGTTTTGTGTACCAGAAATAAGTAAGCATGGGTTGAGGAACAGCATTTTATTTAGTGATAAAATATAAGGTTAACTGGTGTGGAGTGGCAAACCGCATTCTAAAGAATGATGATGAGCTTGCATAGAACTTCAGCCAATGTCGTTAACCAGCTGGGAGCAGGACTGCACCTTTGATAGTGACGATCACGTTACTGTTTTAGTCTTAAAATACACTTCTTGTTCTAGAAGAAGACTTGCTTCGTAAATATTTTTAGTTCTGCTGTCTATAATGTTTTGGTTGGCGATTTCGTTTCAGTAACTTCTCAGTTYTTTGGCTTTATTTTTTTAAATGCTGTTTCCTGTGTAGTGGCCAGTGGCAGCCCAAGCGTGTCACGTCCCGGCCGGGCTGGCTGTTCACGCGGTCTTGTCTTTGTCCTTTGCGCAGGCACAAAGCACTCCGGCCACTCAGTGTTTAGGCCCTTCRCCTCCAGCACAGGCATCTGCTCCGGCACCTGCCGCTCCCATGGCAGCTTTAAATCAGCCGCCCCCGTTACTTCGTCCAGCACTTCCCGCCGCTCCCGCTCTGCACCGCCAGCCTCCGCCGCTTCAGCAGCAGGCGCGATTCATTCAGCCGCGGCCGACCCTAAACCAGCCTCCCCCGCCGCTCATCCGCCCCGCTAATTCCATGCCTCCTCGTCTCAACCCCCGGCCCGTGCTGACCACAGGCAGCGGCCAGCAGCCACCCTCGCTCATCGGAATTCAGACAGAATCTCAGTCCACTCTGCACTGAAGAGAGCAAGCGGAATTATGCTAACTCCCACATTTGAAAAATTGTATCAATGTACTTTTTTTTTTCCAAGCAATGAAGGGGAGAAAAGAGCAAGCCTTCGCAGGTATCAGACCATTTTTCCAGAGGAGCAAGCTAAAAACTAGAAATGGAACACCATCAATCACCACCTGTATAAAAATATTTTTATGCCGAAGACTTGTACAGCAGAACAATGCCTACACCGCAGCCCTCCTCTGTATCAATAACTGTTGAAGGAAGCTAACCTCTTAAATGAATAAATGTTCAACACACCAAGATTTTGTTTAACTGATTTTTACTCTATTTATTTTATTACAGTTCTTTATAGTCAAGCATCTAACTACAGGAAAGTAGTCTGGCAAATCTAGAAATAGGTAATATTGTAGGAGGCTTAAATGTAGTGTTKKTTTTTTTTGTGTGTGTGTGACTTTTTAAATTTTTTTTTACCTTGTAGTGAAAGAAAATAATGGCTTTAGGTTCAGAATGTTTGGCCCTGTTTAGGTAACAGTAGAAGCATCTCACGCACTTGTAAAATGTAGGTATTTTCATGTTTTTCCCWGAACATTTTATCTTGTTTTAAAAGGTACTGGCCTATTAAATACTCCTCTTTCAGAGTATCCTGAAGACTCAATGAGCTGTTGTACCAAATTTATTAAATCTCATRTGTGTTGTACTCATAGAATTTAAGTGGAAGCAGGAGTGTGGTTTCCTGCTGCAGTCTTGTCTTGTGGGCTGGGCAGGATAGAGAGGCAGCAGCTTCCACCAGCCAGGGGGATGACAGGAGAGGAACCATCTAGCAAGAAGTATTAATGTAATTTATTATTCCACTAATTCTTCTAATATAAGGACAGTAAGATTCCATTCCTCTGAGAATGACTGCAGTTCGTGTGTGTTGGATCACGGATACCTTGCATGGGAATTTATGAGGGAAGTCTAGAGGCTGGTGGTGCTGGTAGAGCACCATGAGAATAGTTACCTGCTGCCAACCCAGTCKTACTTTTAAGTGATTATCTCTTGATTCCTGTCACATTTCTGGAAAAAGTCATTACATGAGTTGAGGTGTGGGGGGAGGGAAGGCATGTTTGTTTATTTTATTGACTCAGTAAAACCTGCATTTAGATATTAAAACTGCTTCCAAATTTTAGGAGTTTGAGAGAAACTCATTTCACTGCATTCTTGTCTGAAAC